ACTTTTTCGCCACGGCTCTGCGGTACGACTGGAAGGTCAAAGTGACATTTTCCGGTTAAAACTGAATTTTAGAAGATGAATTCGACATACTTTTATCGGTTTCTATTGGTTTAAGTCGAAAATGGCGAACCTACAAACTGACCTTTTTCGGTTAAAACCGAATTGCTGAAAATGGATTAGGCATACTTTTATCGGCTTTTATCGGTTTAAACCGAAAACTCCGAACCCTAGCTGTATGTGTTCCGCATGAAAGTAGACGCAAGGGCCTTGTTCATAAGAAGTGCAGCTATTACTTGAGAAAATACGGTAAATGTAAAGCAGGTTGATTCTAAAAAGACACTGTACCATTTCTCTTAATACATTTTCTTACAGCTGCGAACAAACTATTGTGGTGGATAGAACAAAAATCTTCCACATCAAGTGAGAAACCAAAGTGTCCTGTCATGGCATTATCTTTTAGATATTGTATAACTGCTTTGGAATTGGGTATCAAGAAAGGATCATCAAGTTGGAAGTTGGACAACTGGCAAAAAAGGGACCGTGACATGGCACCCTGCCATAATCCTTGTTCAGTGACGACTAAATGAAAAGGACATCCTTATGTGTTTGAGTGCTGAAAAACATCTCTGAAGGATCCTTTTTGGATGCTGATATCTCCTTTTTCAGGTTTGCAAGATCAAGTTTGATGTACAAAAGAAGCTTGAGCTTTTGCCTTGACCTTTTGATCTGGATTTCTTGCATGTGGTTGAAGTTTGTTTGTACGGCTACTCTGCAGCCTTATCTAAGTAAGAAAATACAAAAAGAAAAAGGCAAGAACAGGAATCGACGTCCTGCAGTTATGCCCTACATACACCAGCTATACCATAGCAATGTCAAAAAGGTTACCTTCAGGTATGACATTCTGCTGGTATTTTCAGCACCGGGTAAGCTGAAGTGGATGTGTTCTAAATGCGATTCTCTGTAAAACCATCGTGACGACTACAATATAAAGCAGTATAGCATACAAGATACCATCTACCTGCAGGAAAATGTATATGGGACAGACTGGCTGGTGTGTAGATACCAGATTTCGAGAACATGAATCATCTCTACACTCCTCGCCCACAGGGCATCTCGCATTACATGTCTGACTGCCACTCAACACCAATCTTCAAAAAGACAAGAGTCCCGAGGCAGTTCTGTGAAAAAAGATCCAGAGAACTTTATGAGGTGCGGACCACCAAAGCTTGTGGCATGCCTGCGTCAGCGTGCCTTCTGTGTCTTCGGACAAAAAACTGCTATACCTCCACCACCCTACGTGAGGTGTGAGGTGCATTTATAGTTTTGGTGGATGAGCTTCTGATAGTACTTTCAAACTAATATATGTTAAACTATTTTTTTTTTAAATAATAATTTTTTTAGCATGTTTTTTATACCTTTATTTAATGCAATTTTTATGGTCATTTATCACTGTGTTTGGTTTGATTTATTCTGTTCCTTCCATTTCTGTTGTTTTCATATTTTTTGTCTTTTGTATAGCTTAACTCCCACTTCTTTCTTCTCTTGAGATGTGATTAAAATACCAGTTCTTGTCCTTGTCTGTGTTTTGCACTTTATACATTTAGTAAGACAGTGTGTGACATGTGTTGCTTTGAATGCCCTGCTAAGTTTGATGGGATGGGCACACGTTGCACCGCACTCCACCTGCTAACGGCTTGTGTGCCGTCCGATGTCTGCTTGCCGACACAACAAGCGCATGCCTCAATCCTCAGCGTGCATCAAGCCTGCTGGAGCATTGGGCAGGTGCTCATTTGTTTTGCGCTTCCTCGCTTCACAACTTATTTACTGTCGCAAATATTTTTTTATGTCTATTTGGCCGATTTCATTGGTCTACTTTGAGCATTTTAGAATGGAATGCCAAAACATGAGAAACACTTACACAAGCTTGTGTTAAGAGCTTGTGTACTGTGGTCGCATTCAGACATCAGCTCATGGATAACCCTGTTGGACATCTTTATTGCCTTGAATACTCAGTGACTCTAGGTCTGATCGAGTTTCGTCGTGATTGGTGTTTCGAAGGTTTTTAGTTTGTGCCACCTGTGTGCACGGTTCTTGTTTGTCCAATGTCCCAGCTGTGGTGGCTTCAGTGAACTCATGGGATACTCATGTGCACTTGTATCTTCCCAGCAGAAAAAGGGAAGACATAATCCGGGAGTCATCGATGCAAGTGCCGCCGAGGCTTTAGGCATCTCCGATGTCTGTGGCAATTTTTGCGGTTCATTGACAATCTCGGATGCTGAGTTACAAACGAATGTTTTTGTTTTTTTCGGGATAGAGGGGAAAGTTTCATGCAACACATGAAACTAAGTGCCAACAATTTAGAACAAAGTCTAGTCTACTTCTGTATGCCATAAGCTTAGGGCCCAATGCTGTTTTTAACCATGCCAAAGGGAGCTGTCCTTGGTGTAATAAAACCTGCAATTGAAGCATTTAATTATTTATGACACTTAGTACCTGAACCCTGAGGAACTAGCTACATATATCAGCGTTTTTTTTGTTTTTTTATTATCTAGAATAATATGTGCAAGCACACCTGAAGTAACCAAAGAACTGTTGTTGTCGTAACAATAACACTATGCATAAAGCTCTAGCTGTATAGCAACTTTTGTAGTTCTCATGATACTGAGCTTTTTAGTCTAGCAAAACGGCTCATTGTAATATACATTCAGGTATAACAAACTGATGTGTGAAATTTGATGAGTAGACCTTTATTGTGGACTCTTTTAAAGCACATATGGTTATCAGATTCAGCTTGTGATAGATTTTGCACTATTAGCCAATACAGTTGACCCTGCCATCAAAGCATTTTCATTGGATGTTTCTGGATAGCAATAATAGAACTGGTGAAATTGATAAGGCGTAAATTTGGGACGCTGCCTGTGCTACAATAGGGGTTTTCCATCTAAAAGGAACCTGTCAACAGTGTCCTCATTGACAATGACTTTGCAGTTGGTAGCCGGTAGCTGTGGAACTCCAAAAGACTTCATACAGGGTGTTTTTTTTTTTTTTAGCTTTACAGACTAAGTATATCAGTGAAAACTACACTAACGCAGTCTATGCATGTGAATATAGGGGGCCAGTCGTTGCAATAAGTCGGTTCAATTACTAAAATTTGTTTCATTAATCTTTTAATTAGTGATAATGATAAACATGGTTTCTTTCTACTAGAAACTTGCGAAGCGTCATTGAAAACCATTAAGTGAGTCAATTTTAGAAAGACTTGTGTAGGGAAAGCACGGTGATGCGCTAAAGTTAAAACTCGTGCAATAGGTGCAAGGCTGGCGGTGAAAACATGCCCGCAGTGTTGTTTCCTCTCGTACGCATTTTTGCACCGCCAGCCTTGTGCACGGGCACAAGTGGTAACTTTGGCACACTTTGACACTTACCACATGCTCGGAGTCTTTCTAAAATTTACTGACTTGGTGGTTTTCGATGACGCAAGTTCCGAATTGAAAACATATTTTTATTTGTACTGATAAAAAAAAGTTAACAGATTTTCTCAAATTTTCCGACTTATCGTGACGATTAGCCCCCTATATTATGTCCCCCTTGGTCATATAAAGGCCTGTTCACACATACAGCTCAGTGCTAACTCAGTGCTGTAGGCCACTGCATGCAACCTCGCTCACTCTTGCTTGCACGATGCAGCACTATACCCCTGTTACGCGGGGGATACGGCCCCTGTAACAAGGGTCTTAGTGCTGTCTCACTGGGCCAAAGGCACTTAGCTGCCCCAAATGTGATTCGATTCAACTGAACTGAGATGGTGCTACACGGCTAATTTCAATCTCTATTGTAACAAAAAATTGAATCTCGTGTCGCATGACCTTTCTAATTGTGAAGTAAATAATTATGGACGCACTGGGTTTATTGTTGATGAGCATTGATCTAATACGCCTTTCTTACGTTTTGGGGCAAAGAATTAAACAAAAATCTTAACGCTTCAAATGAATGCAAAAACGAGAGGCCGCATCGCCATTGCACCGCCAGTGACTGCTCGCGCTAGCACTGGGTTCTGTCAACGTTACTAGATTAGAACTGCTTCTAAACGCTGCTTACACGAGCAGTACCCCCTTTTCCCTGCCTCTCGTCGTCCGACGGGCCGCCAGTTTGAGGATGGCTGCTATGGTAACTGTTGTATTCTATGGAATGCATATGTTTTTTAGATGGAGTGTACCATACTCTATGGAATGCACAGTTTTGCAACGACAATCTCGATGGCGCTTCCAATGACAGGAGGTGGACTGAAGTGAGTGAGCGAGGCGCCCCCTTTACGGGAGTTCCCCAAATGACCTATAATCAGTGCCAGGTTAAGAGTTCAGGGGAAACTCCTACCACCTCTCTCCGCTTTAGCAGAGCGAATGCTGGAAAAGAGGCGACCTTCTCTCTGGCATTCGACTCTTAACCTGTCGCCAACTGTAGTAACGTTGGGTTCTGCATCTGAGTAGATGTAGAGCCCTGTATCTGCCGCCTTTTACAATATTCGCTGCTATGATTGTGTCTGGATACCTTTCCCTGTGTTCCAAAACAGTACTAAGTGCATCATTAACACTGCCCGTCATTGGCAATGCTGGAGACTCGAAGAACGCAGCACTGCTTAGCACTGATACAGCGCTGTTCTTAGTGTTGATTTAGCACTACGATGTATGTGTGAACCGGCCTCACCTCCACAGGCCACATTAGTGTAGCTTTCATGGCTTTTTTAAAACAAATCTGAAAAGCCTAAAAAAAAAAAACACCCTTATAAATGGAGTGGGTGTCTTGTAACAGTGTTCACATTTTGCATACAATGAGCAGATAGAAGTTTTGCTTACTATGGAAGGACTTTTGTAGTGAGCTTTCACATAGTGGTTCAAACTGTTTGAGATCTCTCTGTCAACTGTAAATTTGCTCACAAGAATTTTTTCAAGTGTTGTTGACATTGCACAAATTTCAGAACAAATTCCATGTAACTAATACAGGAAATTCCTGCCGAATCCAATGCATCGTGGAGGAGTGCTATCCCGTGGTGCCATCTCTGGCTGTGGGCCTACCGGTTATGCAGCCGAAGGCGGAAAGTGCCCTAGTGCCCTCACACCGTTTGTAACAACTGCTGCCAAGCAGCTTAGATGGTGGAATGAAGCGAGCACCACAAATCTGTTTCTGCAACAGCAGAGGAGGGGCATGTCCAGTTTCACACCCAGTCGGAAATTGCTGTGTCATGGTTCATCTCTTACAGCCTATGGGTTCAGTTGGCTGAAGTTTGCAATGAGACGACACATCTTCCGCATATGATTAGCTTTTCCCACTGATGAAAGAATGTGATCAGAGTGCATTCATGATGCACTGTTTGCTATGTAGGCCTTTGCTTCAGCTTGCCTTGCATTGAAACGGAGTATGTCACTCCGAGGGATCTGCAAGATGCTGCAAATTTTCTGTATCGAGTGCAATGGGACCTTTCCAATGCTTCAGACATGCTTCAGTATATTATCTGCGGGAGATCTCTGGTAACTTCAGCTTGAGTTTTTGAGCATGTTTTTTCTATGCATGCTAAATACTCGAAAGTAGCAAAAATAATGAAGCAAGGAATCCTTTGTGGTTTTCATAGCTGTGCCATTCAACTCAGAAAATGGTCGGGTGGCTTATTTAAGAATTTCTTTTAAATCTTCAGGTAACTCTTGTACATTATTCTAATGTAGATGGGCCATAGACTTTCCGGTTTTAACCGAAAAACACTTGAACAAATTTGCTTCCATTGAAAAGAATCTGTTACAGCCGAAAAACTAAAATTTCTGTTTGCTCTTGCTGAGAACTCTCGGCCGAAACCATCGCTCCTTAGACATTCATCAGGCGAGTAATCTCGCCTAGAATCGAGCACCATGCCAGTCTCAAATCAGTGGAATGGCTGACCTTGGAAGACAGTGACATGAGCGTTAGGTCAGTCAATCGGTCACCACAGTGTCGTGGTTCTATATCAGGTCGGGGCTGGACGACCGTGCTTGAAACTAAATTGACTATTGTTATCGGTTGAAACCTGCAAAACAATCAAGAGCAACTGGCCTTCCTTGTGGCAGAAACATTTTGCTTGAGAAGGCTTGAATTTTTCATCCCACACAGAGCAGAAATAACAGTAGTGGGATAAGAAGGAAAGGAAAAGCTGCAGGTTATTATGGAAGAGTGGTCAGACTTTGACCAGTATGTGTTCAGACTTGTTGATCGTTTGCAATGATACTATAGATTAACTGTGTTGTGGATGTGCTTGTGGACGCTGCTTCCATGCATGGCTTTCGCCTAAGGACCTTCTGCTGTTTCAAGTGCCACAACCCGTTGATAGTTTTAACGCTAACCCAAAGTGTACACATGTTTTGGAGCACAGCCTTAAGGTGGCTCTTTATCGTAGCCATTGAATGCAGTTTTGAACCACCTCTACGTGGTGCTTCTAACGATGGGATAAAATTCACGCTTGGCGTTTCTCACAAGTACTATCCACCATTGTTCTGCGAACGTGCAAGACGTGTCACGAGCGGTTGCTCCTCCGCCATTCACTTCCTTTCATTTCAGTGCATCGCCACTATTTGCTCTCAGCCTTGTGCATTGGCGCATTTGACGCTGCTTGTAAAACAAATGCACCAAGGGGCTTTACGACTTTGGGGGAAGTTCCGTGGGAGTACCGCATCTGAAAATAACGTTGGTCGTTTGCAAGCTCTGTCGCATTATGGTAAGCATGGCAAGAGGGAAGCGTTAGAAAGGTATGTACAAATTGTAAATTCAATTTTAACCAGGTTTCATTTGCCGTTCCTTGGCTATCGGCACTGTTTTCCACTAATAATCACCATTTTTAGCATCCGCATGAAACGAATCACCGGAGATGCCGATTGTTGAAAAGAAACTAAACACAAAAATGTAGCTGCAGGTTTTTCTTATAAATAAGTAAATGCTGAAAAATCTACCGCCCAATTGTAGGCCACCGGGTAAAATTGAGGCAAAATGTTTTTGCTGCATGTTTTAAACCCGAAGTTACCTCAAGATAGGAACTTGACATGCTGTAGTTTTACTGAAGTTGTTTAGAAATTCTTTTAAGTGGCACTTCTGGCCTTGCAGTTAACTGCACCACTAAAAGAGTGACCCGTTCTCTTTGCGGTTGGTATGGATATGGTGAAAATCAGTTTGTCAAACGACATTTCACCAACAGATTGTTTCGTCAACATGCAACATTCGATTGACAGTTCGTTTCACCGAAAGGCTTCCCGCATTTGTTTCATGAGCAGACCATGCAACATTTTGTTAAACGGAACTGCTATTTTCGCAGCAAAAAAAAAATTAAAGCCGTTTACAACTCCCTGTAACTCTGAATTGGAGCGCAGCTCTTGAGGAGGAGGAGGGAAGGGTACTGAGGGGAGGGTAGACCCCTCCTCTCTCCTCTTTACTTTGTGATAGTGCCTGCTACTCCTCCTCCCCGCCTCCCTCCTGCTCTTCCCCTCCACCCCCTTCTTCCCGGGGTCACATGACTTCGGGAGGAGGGGGGGTCACGTGACCTCGGGGGAGGGAAGGGGGTCACATGACCCCTGAGGTCACGTGAGCTGGGGTGTCACGCGACCTTGGGGGGGGGGGGGGGGGTGTCACGTGACCTTGCAATTATGCCGACGCCGCTCAAGTGAAATGGGCCCCTAAGAGCTGCGCTCTAAAACTGTGTCACACCTGATTTATGGGGGGAGAGAGAGGAGAGGGGGGGGGGGGGGGCGAAGTGGCAGAACGTTGCAGGGGCACGTGTCCACAAAGCGAGCTTCCACGAAACATACAATGTTGACGAATCATGTCCGTGAAATCTGTGTCCACAAAAAGTTGTCCACGAAATGTGTTTTCATGAAACAATAGGGACCCATATGGAAGCATGTGCTCGATTCTAGTAGGCTTTTCACAGTGGCGCCGAGCTAGCACGCAAGGGTGAAACACTTTGAATCTGATGCAATTAACTGTGAAGATTTTTTTTTTTTAGTTTTATCATATTTTCTGGACTATAGTCTGCAGATTATACATGTTTAAAAGTTGAAATTTTAGGGTGTGCAGACTATACGGGAATTTTGTTTTTCAATATCGTTAATTCTGACGAAGCAAGAGGGATTTTGTTAATAAAAGAGTATGTTAATGATGATTTATCTATAATGCAAGCTTCTTTGTGAGCTAAGATATGTGTCAATGAGTGCCGTGTAGGAGAAGATTTTCATGTCTACTAAGCACCAGGTGCAGACTACGCACCGGGTGCGGACTATCTGAGCGAAAACTTTTTTTTTACCCCAAATTTGCCCCTGCGGACTATACACCAAGTGCGGACTATAGTCCGGAAAATACGGTACTGATCTTATTCGGGATAGTTTTATGGTGGTGCAAAATGAACACAATACGAAATGATGAAGGATTTGCTACACACACTTGATGAAAGTTAGAGGTTAGTTGATGTCGGCAGGTGCACTTCCAAGTTGATCAAAACTGATTCTAGGGTAGTAGAATGTACAAAGTTTTGCGTCAAATGATACCATTCAATAATGACTCGGGGGGAAAAAAGGAATTTAAAGCAAGTATTGTGGGATGGGAACTCTTAAAAAGGTTTATTGTGATTATATCTTGTTAATCGTTTAGTAGTAGAGATTAAGTAATTTTCTCGGGGAATATTAAGTTGCTTGCTAATTCATATAAAAACTTGAGCCTTGCAATTTGTGCCCCTTTTTTTTCTAGAAGTATAAGTTCTAATTTTCTGCATACTGTGTTTGTTACCTTGCTGGCATTTTTTTTTTTTCCTAACATTAATGCATGAGACTGTGTGGAAACCATATGATGTTGGCATACTCGAACATAAGACGGGCTAGTGTTTTATAATAGCTAGTAGTTTCGTTTCAGTGGATCCAAGTTTTAAGACTTTTGAGATGATGGCGTTCATTCTGTTTTAAGAGTTGAAGAGTCGATGTGCAGATCCCAGTACAGGTTATGACAGATGTAGTCCAAGGTATTTATGCTCCGACTTCCAGGCGGATATTGTTTACCTGCCAAAAAAAGGATTGGGATTGTTGTTGTTGTTGTTGTTGTTTTTTTTGTTATAGTTTGGGTTTCGTGTTATTGGTAAATACTGATGAACCCCTAACCCCCGAGCTGGTTTTATCAAAATAGGGGAAAAAACCGTAAAACTCCGAATCTGAGCTGCCCTGAATAAAAATAACCGAAGATTTCCAAAAAGGAATCCTTTTATCTACAGCTTTCTTAATTTGTTTTGAACGGGAACATAGCCCACACTGCATTGACCATGAGGCTGGTCCTTGGGACGTTTTCCAAGTGTTTGGGTCCTGTGCAGCTTCCCCAAAGATTGGGGACTCTTATGCCCGTTTTTCTTCCACATGAGGCCCGATAAGCACGCACCTTTTGCACGACACTGGAAATTGAGACTGAAAAACATGGAATCTGTAGAAAATTTCAAGAAAACAAAAATAAACGCAGAGAAAATGCGTCCTGAAAACATGTAGCCCTAGTTATGGTCAGTCATTTCTCATGTTTCTAAACACTTCTCTTTCCTGATCAAACTGTTTGGCTCACAAATGGTTTGCCTAGACATGTTCATCTCCAACCAAAGCAATTCGGTGAGCAGGAATAGTTTGTGTGCTGAATACGCACAACACATGCTGTATGTCTTTCCAAGCTAGTGATTCAACAAAAGCTGCACACTCAGCTTTCTGGTGCGCTATTACAGACCTATTTTTTAATACCTCGAAGCACACAACATGACGACACAAAAAAAAAAAAAAAAAAAAAAAAAAAAAACTCTGGACAAGGGACGACAAACATATTTTGAAAAATATGTTTGTCGTGCCTTGTCCCCGAGTTTGTTTTATTCTTTCTGTCAACTCTACCAACACGCTCTACAGTTAATTAAAACTTGAACAGATGTTCTATGAAACTAAATGGCAAGGCAAGGACATGTGGGGTTAATGCTAGTGCTAACAATAGAGCCATCTGAACATTTGCTTACAATTGCTGGGTGCAGGCAGACTGGCAAGAAGCAGTCAGTGCAGAGTTTAAAAGGAAGGATTAGAAAGATGTGATTAAGGGTTGCATGTGAAATGGACCTTTAAATATGTGAGGTGCAATGCTCCATTGACTGCCAATGTAAACTCCTGATTCCTATGAAGATGAAAGCTCGTTGGACTTTGGTGTCCTAGTGTCGGCACACCCAAGCAGTTATCGAGCCAATCCTTGCCACACAGAGATGTGCAAGTTCTGCTCTTCCATGCAGTGCTGGACAGTTGGGTGTCTGTCGCCCTTTCCAATGACATAGCGGGCTGGTTCTCCTTCATATTGGTCACGAGTAAAGGGATCCAAAGTACAATGGAAAGAGAAGTCAAGCTCTTAGCTAAGGACTAATTTATTCTGCACACGACGTGCCATTTTGTGTGCAAAGGATGCACTTTGGCAATGCATCAGAAAGTGTCCTTTTAATGCACATTCAAATTGCATTCCAGTGTTCCATTTTGTGCCAGATATTAGCAATGCATCCCAGAGGTGTATTACAGAATGCTGCTGCCTCTTTTGTCTAGGATGCCAAACACCGATGGCGTGCACTGATGTATCTGTAGAAAAGATTTTTAATAAAAGTTCTACACCATATAACTTGAATGGACTCTCTTGTTCTTGTAAAGAGAAGCAGGGACGGGAACTTCCAGGAAGCTTATCCGACAAAATGAGTGTCAAATAGTGGGCCAAAAAATGCAAGTTGAGGAGAACCAAGAAAGATCTTTTATCATGTCATACACGTATACAGTCATGCTAGGAAATGTTGCTGTTCCCAAAAAACATTGTCCATCATCTCGATTTTTTTGATAGGAGACGATTCATTTGGACACCGAGCAGAGATGGCTCCAATTCGCAGTTCAATGATTAGACCAGAAAAGTCAGTTTTGTAACATGGTTGGGTGGAGCTTTATGCAGGAAAGAACTGGTGGTCCCTGTGCATGATTAAAGTTTCTATTGCATGCCCAGTCAAACTTGATGAGTGCGCGAGTTTAAAAAAAAAAAAAAAAATCCAAGGTGAGTTGCCAAAGCCCAATGGCAGGATGTCTTAAATTCTTTATAAATGTATCGGAAGGTAAGATGCTGACATCAAAAAGTTTTTTTGCGGCCCCACATGCATGTGCCCTCGAGAGATCAAGCACTCATTTATCACCAGCAAAAAATGCCTGTTGAAACGTTTTTCAAATTGAAACTATCTGAACACAGTAGAAAAGAAGCAACCATTCTTTAAAATTGGTGTCCACATATTGAAGATGCTCCGGGTCAACAAAAAATTACCTAATTGCTGCTGATTAATTTATTTTTGGTGTCTCTTTGGCAGAAGTAATGTCGGAATGAGTTAAAATTTCCTGCTCATCAAGTTGAGAAACAGCACTGTCAGTCTCTGCAGCATTTTCTGTAGTGAGAACAGCCAGAAAGCAGGGCCAGCCGACGTCCATGGGTGTACCAACCGGGGGGGCAAGGGGGGCACTTGCTTTCCCAGTTCTCAGAGTGGGGAGGCAAGGCATGTGTTTTGCCCCCCCCCCCCCCCCTTGCCCCTTGAAACAGCAGCCACTGGGCAGGGCAAACACTGGCCAGCGGGACCCAAGGGACACTAAGGGCACCGTTCCCCGGCCCTGGGGAGGGGGGGGTCTGGTTTGCCCCCCCACTCAAAAACAAGTTGGTACGCCACTGTCGATGTCTACTCAAACTTGTTGAGAGGAGTGCACAGGGGCGGCCCACGGCATGTTTTAAACTTTGCTGGAAAGCGGGCTCAATTAGACCCCCACTTGCAGGAACTTCTGGGTTTTCAGTTCTTCTGGCAGACATGCATGCTGGAACTTTCAAAATGCACTGTGCCACCTTAACCTCTAAAAACTAACAGCAGTGCAAAGAAGATGCGTGATGCAAATTGTATGCACGTTCCCTTTAAAAATGTGCAGCAACATGCGAAGCAAAAATGTTGCTGCCAAAAACCCCTTCAGCACAACACTACATCCAATGAGTACCAGCACAATTCAAAACCTCCACGAAAGCAGCTCACACATGCGAGGAGTCGATCTATCCAAACGACTGCCGTTGCTCCCCTTTTCAGCTAGGCCAACACAGTGCAGCGAGAGATACATCCTTAAAATCATTTATTTCAACATAGAGCACTTGAAGATAATTTATACAAAGCAAATCACACATCTCCATTTGAGGAGAGTACATATTGCTCATTGGCTAAAATGAAAATGCTGTTCTCCAAATGACTTTGAGTCACTAGCAGTGCACAGACTTGTTTCGCTTTCGTACGATTGCCGTCTCCATTCGAACACGAAGTGCCGCTGGCCGAAGCTGGCCAGGCAGAAAGCGTCTCTCTCCTCGCGCCTGCCGGTCCAAGCTCTCCCAATGTGCCGGGTCCAGCGAGCGTGGCGCGGACGGAGTCCCGGGTGCCAATACAGCTACTTTCGACAGGGTCTTGACTAGAGCGCCCTGTGGGACTGCGAGGGAAGCCAGGTGGGATGCGAGACATTGCTCTGGGGTGTGGCCTCCGCACCCGCCGAGGTATTCTGGAGCGAGGTACACCAAACACCGACAGCATGACGACAGCGAGAACTACGACACAGCCACCGGCCGGCAGAGTGGGAGACCGGGGAGCGGGCCAAACTCAAAGCGGCGTCTGGAATGGTTGCCGATTGTGCGGTGGCAGTCGGAGGCCGTCCGAGGGCGTAGAAAAGCGTGGTTTAACGTCCCAGCCGACGCACTACAAAAGGGGGGCCCAGCACACACGCCCGGGGCGGCCTGTGAGAGCGTGCAACGGCGGTGCCGCCCCGTCTCCCAGTCTGCCGGGCTGTTGAGCACTAGGACCACAGATACGACAGTTTGACTGCCTTTGATATACACACATGCAACACACAACACTCCATTGAATGACAATTATTGCTCCAGTCTTTTCCACCGTGTGATATGCGCATGGGTGATTTTTCTCGTCGCTACGGTCACGCTAACAGCAACAACATAAAACATTTTTTTCTGCTGGAAGACACTGATGGTCGACTGCTCGGTGGCAAGGAAAAAGGGGGTGCACAAGACACGCTGCGAGCTTCCCGCGGGCCTGCGCTTGGCACCGCCCGCGAGGGCTGGCAGCCGGGCACACGCCACGAAGGTCACAGCAGAAAGCACACGACAACACCCTGACACTCTCCCCTCGGGCAACTGCAGCCCCCCAGTTCTGCACAAACCCTGCTGAGGTATTTCTGCCGGGCACCGAGGCCCACTCGAGGTAACTGCGGTTGGCGGCCACGCACTCTGCGCAGTGGGCGCTGAGGTAGACCGTCTGTACAACGTCTGTACAGGTACCCGCTTGGACATCACGCAACGCCTCACAGCCTCTGAGGCACCGGCGGATAGGTTGGCACAAGGAAAACTACACACACTAACAGCTGTGGGAGACAGCCACAACACCCGGTCGGCTGCTCCAGGTAGCCAAGAAAATGAGGCTGCTCGTGTTTTCAGAGGTATCTGCTAGGGGCTGGCCTAGGGACAACTTGCCCTGCTCGGAAAAACCGACGGCCAGTCTATCTGGAGGTAGATGCGGCAAATTTCCCGTCCGTCACGGGGGGCTGCAGTCGCCCAGCACGCTGTAAAGGTCTAAAAAGAAGATCCGAGTTGCGTCAGCATTTTACATTCTGGTTTCCGCCACACGTGGGCTGCCTGTATATTGCCCCGACTGGTTCCGCAAAAACCTCAAAAAGCCACACAGTTTGTCTTGAACGAAACGGGCAAAGGCCCTTGCTCCGACGAGGTAGTGATTTCAAAGCTCAAATGAGGTCCTTGGTTGTTAAGCTGAGGTTTCCAACGGTTGCACCTGCTGGCAGTTGAACTGCATTCAAAGATGCCTGAAGCCAAACAAAAGGCACTACTACAGTGGGAACAGACGCGGGCCCTTCGCGCACCAGCGCCCAGGCAACAAACAGCCTGGCCGCAGGGGAGCAGCCTCCAGCCGGGGCACACCCAGCGGCGCCCAGACTGCAACCCGATTGCCAACGGCTGCAGACTCTGCGACGCAGGCCCCGCAAGTATGCAAAAGCTGTGGTGCACAATATGCCACCTATTGCCCCAGGCCAGAAAAGAATGAGGGTAGCGCAGGTACGCGGGACCATGCATAGCAAGAACCAAAAAATGCCGGCAACGAGGAACTCAGGCTCTAACCGACCGGTCAAAGAGACTCCGAGGTAGTGTGTTTCAAAAGGCTGTTGCAAGCAGCCCATCCCTTTGACGAGGTAGCTCCACAGAGGTATAAAAAATAACGTCTCTCATCGTCGGAACTCCTGCATCTCTAAGCAAGTTTCCACCTGTACGGCTCACAGGTTGCCCCGCAGAATTATCATTTTTAAGAGGATTCGCCATCTCCGAGTGCATCACGGTTTTTGACAGGAGCTATAAACCAAGCCCATCTGAGTTATTTGCTGTTAACCTCGGAGAGCACTGCAAGGAGTGGCAGACAGGTTGCCACCAGTGATGTAGAAACAAAACTTTGTCGAGAGACAAAAACACACACAAAACGAGTTGCAATGGTAGAGAGGCCCAACATTTGCTTCTCACGCCAATTTGCTGCGAGCCTACCATATAACTATGGGAATGGAATGTCAGATTAAAATCAAGCATTTCATACGTGGAAAGGACACTGCAGTGCCTGTTGCAAATGTCAACTTAAGTACCTCAACAAGGGTCATATACCCAGGGCTTCATTTGTGGGCATTAAACTCCTCGAGGCCATAGTTTCCTCACCAGCATGTGCAACGATACTAAGCTCGTACTCTCAAGAAAATATCTCGACAAACAAAAGTGCTACACTCAAATGACAAAATTTGTTTTGTTTTACCTTTCGGTACTATTGTGTCCAGGACATATGTGCACTCAGAATACAGTAGTTGGGATAAAAAATATGATCCGGCGGCTAAACACGTACATTCTTAATCCGTTCAAATGAAACCAAGTGACAACCACACCGGCAAAACTATGCCACAGAACGAAGTGCAGGCCACAACAACGAGAAAAGGAAACGTGGCGTGCAATGCAGTAGCCCCAAACCCCTTGTGTGCCTAAGACACGGCAGGATGCATTTTGATGCAAGCCCAGCAGTAGAAAACGAAGAGTCTGCATATATATATATATATATGCCACACTGCCATACTTCCGTCATACGGTGCTTTGTTAACAATGCCATTTAACACTCGTCGCTGCTGTATTTATACTGCCGCGCATCAAGTGTCGTGAAACGTCAAAAACCAGAACAGAAAAGGTCCTTGACACACTGAGACCGCTAATACCTTGGTTAGTGCTCCTATGCCAGAAATCAGGCACTGTCGTTATTGCTCTTAATCAACCAGGGTGCCCAGAAAAGTCTCCAACTGACTCAAAATCTTGTTATTCTTTGTTTTTCTCCAAAAAATCACCGTCACGCATCCAAGGACTCCCTTAAAGCTTTCGACAGTGTGAACCTAGCACAAGATGCTGTTGACCCGTGGTTTTGTGAGGAGAATGGCGAAGGTTGTCGACACTCGTCAAACAAGAGACGTACAAAAGACTGCAGTTGCAAGCTGCTGAGCCAGGCTCCACAGTGCCAGGATGCCCTGTTGCAGGGTTTTTGCTGGCTGTCACTAACAATCAATGCTCCGGTGGTTTCTAGGAAACCTGAGAAAAAAACTGCTCTGTTATCACATCCTCCCTCTTTAAAATGACTCCAACTGACTTCCACAAAAAGACAGGGTAGGGGGGTGGGAATAAAGCTGTTGCCCAAAGCTTGTTGCTCCAAAGCGCCATCTCGGTGCACCAAGCGGGCACAACGCGCCAGGCCTTTCAGAGCGCACCGACGACCAGACCGAGGCGGCGCCACGCTGGGTTTCCGAGAAGCAGCCTTGGGGTGCGGACACTCCCCTTGGAAGCTTCCTAAATGCACAGTAGGGTTTGGGCGCCAAAAACTGGCAACAGAGCAAAACTCAACCCCATTTCAAGAACACCCTTTGGCACGACACCCGAACACAGTGGTGAGGGTGACGGGGTCCGAAGGCTGTTCTAGCCCAGAGGCTGCGTTTCCCGCAGCAGCCACTGGAGGGCCAGATCGCGGCCTTGCTCCTCGAGTGCCCGACCAATCACATCGCGGCAGGCCTGGTGGTATGTATCTAGCCACTCCACCTGGACAAACAAGAAGTGCACCCCATCATGTAGTACTCTAGCATTGGCCTCAAATAAAATCTAACTATAGGGTGTCTGAAATGCCGAAGCTCTATCTAAAATGGGCCGTAAAAATCGGCGCCTGCACATAGCAATTTAAACCTTTTGTCAAGAGTGTATTTCACAGGCGAGTTTTACCTCGTAAAATTACAACGTATAGCTCCCTTTCTATAAACAATAGGGCCAAAAAACTTGCCAGGGTCAACGGCAGATGGCTACGCAGATGACAGAGTCGAGTGGTGCATTTGGTGCACGCATTGATAGATGATGTCGGAGGCAGTGTTGGAAGGTGTAGCAGACCAGCGAAAGAAAGCAGATATCAAGTTTTGCTCTCATTGTCCGCATTTATTTTTAAACCAAAGGTACATAATTATGTTCATTTTAATAGACCACAGTCATTGCGGGCAGTCTCGGTACTTTTTAACAGCCAGCCGGAACTAAAGCCCCTAATATGCCAGGAAGGAGGGAGCACCCCCTGTCAATACATGAGCCAAATGCACACTGCCGTTGTCATTCGCCGTTGACCCTGACAAGTTTTTTGGCCCTGCCTTCTACATAAAGGGTGCTATGCCTTGCAATTTTACAAGGTAAAACCACCTGTGAAATACACCTTTGACGAAAAGTTTAGATTGCTACGTGCAGGCGCCAATTTTTATGACCCATTTTAGATCAAGCCTCGGCATTTCAGACACCCAGTCGAAGTTGAGCTCAATCGTATCTAGACAAAACACCTTTGTCAGTATACACTTTAGCATCTCATTAATCCTTACTATGTCAATTAACTACAAATAAAATAGTGATTTGCACGGATCTCTCGCACTGCTAAACAATCTCAAAAAGCTGCCGAGAGAAAACAGAAAAAAACATGAAAGAATGATCAGATTGAGAGGGCCATGGACAAGTCATCGGCACAGTGAAGTGGCAAAACGGCCCTGGTAGCAAAACCCCCACAGTAAAATCTAATGATGCAGACCAACTCTAGGAGAGACTAAGGAAAGTAAAAAGTCATGTTTGCAATAGCAGGACAAGCTCATGCCACAAAGCCCTCCAACCTTTCTTTCCACCTGGCAGAGCCGGCGAGGAGGAACTCGCCTCCTCTCCGGCTCTGCCAAGTAGAAAGAGACACGACAGATGAACTAAGGGGGGAAAGGAGAAGTCGCCTTTCACCCTTAGGGCTGAAAATGAGCTCCAGCCTGGCCTATGAGCATCAAGTGGAAGGTCACCTCGTCAGCAGTGAGCATCAGGGGGTTGAGCATCTTGGTCTGGATGGGAACCAGCGTCAGGGAATCGAAAGCCAGGAACCCTCGATCTTTGAAGTTGTACTTGGTGGCAGCCTTCCGGACAAGCACCAAGTTCTCAATCCGAATTCCAAACTGGTTGTCCTCGTAATAGCCAGGCTCTACACAGGAACAAGGTCATTACTTGAAAACTGCTTAGACAAGCTAGCGGAAAGCCTCTTACCAATCGAAAGGATCATCCCTTCCTGAAGACCTGGATCATTAGGATGGGGCATCCAACTGATGCCCATTGGTCCTGTCATTCAAAAGGGACAAAGTCTGAGTTAAAATGCAGTGACTGGCCCTCACTATCTGCCTCGATCATCTACAAATAGGGCACAGTACGCTTTTTGCTCTATGAGCAACCAAACATGAGACTGGTTGAGACCAAAAACAGCAGTTGTAAGGCACTTGCTATATACAGAGGAACCTCATTAAGAGTAACTCTTTGAGAGAAACTCCTGGAAAACGGGGACAAATTGAACCCACTCAGGTGCTTTCAGTAAGGTTCTAATGAGATAAAGAGGACCTATTTAGGGGATCCATAGATGTTGCTGTTCCTACTGCACTCCGTTATACCCTAAAGCAGACTGTGACATATGCCTGAGGCTGTCAACCTAAAACACAAGTGATCCAACTAGGTCACGCAACGCACTCATAGCCCTTTACTGACTCAAACAACTCGTAACATTTACAAAAGTCCACGGGCCATAAAACGATTTTGGGGCTTGTCCCTCATAATTGTACAAGAGTTCTTAGAATGGAGAACAGCTTTGAAGCTCAGCTTAAAGTGCTAGGGAATGTGTCCATTTATTACAACAAAATGTAACCCAAATGTGCTCCAGTGCACTGTGTGTCCTAGGAAAGTCTCAACCTTGGAACATCTTTCTCACATAAGCACCAATAGCCCATTTCTGAGTGCCTCACACTTGCACAACTTAGCTGTGAGCACGTGCCTTAAAGCCAACACGATTGCAAGATCACCACAGTTTTGAGCCCGTAAACCATTCTAGCCTATCCCCAGCGAAGGGTCATGCACTCGCCTTCGTGAACATTGAGGTAGGCGCCCACTCCGTGTCCCGTTCCGTGTAGGTAGTCCAGACCCACTTCCCAGAGTGCCCGTCGTGCCAGCGTATCTAGCATTTGCCCTGAAAACAGGTCAACAGAGCCATTAAGAGCCCTTCCTCGGAATTCCTCGCACAACAGCTCACCTTTCACAAGTCGGGGAAAGATAGCGGATGACAGTGCAATGTTTCCTTTCACGACCCTGGTGAAGCACTCCTGAGGAAGATGAGCTTTGTTAGCGTCCCACTCGAGACTGGGCTGTCACGACGGCAGAGAAAACAAGGACTCACCTTCTCGTACTGGCTGGGCATGCCGAAGTGCCACGTCCTGGTTACGTCTGTTGTCCCGTCTCTGAAAGAAGGAAAACAGTGGAGGAAAATGGAGACCAGTCAGAGCCGCCACGCACCTGTATTGACCACCCGAGTCGCACAGGTAGACCTCCTCGGTGGTAACTCGCCGGTCCGAGTCCTCCTCGGGACGGTAGTGGATGATGGCCGCGTTGGGGCCAGATGCCGAGATGGTCTCGAAACTTGGTCCTACGTAGTCTTCCTGCTCCCTGCATCCCATCATAGCGTCAGAGTATGCCTGGCGGGCAAGCACCCGACGCACCTGCGGAAGTGCTCCAGCTTGGCAGCAGCCGTGATCTCTGTCACTTCCCCTTTCGGGACTTGAGATTCCATCCAAACAAAAAATTCACACAGTGCCACCGCATCTTTGATCTGAAACCGAGCGGAAAGGCCTGAGAAGGGCCACCCCTGCCACAGCAACACCATAGCCCCAACACTCACGTGGGCACGCCGCATGCATTCGATTTCCGTTTCGTTTTTAATTGCCTTCCTGAGCATCACAGGATTTGTAGACTCGATTCGACGTTCCTGCAAGGGTCGGCAGCAAGAGTCACGAGACGTGCCACAATGTTCCCAGGCTCCCACATACCTTGGGAACTTGGCTGACAACTGCATAGCTCGAACAACTGCTGACCCAAATTTTCCCCGACTGCTGATTTATCAACAGGGAGAGGAAGTCCTTAAACACACGGTAGGGTCGGATGTCAACTGCGACGCTTTTCTCGTTTCGGTCGGCTGAGAGGTGACGTTGAAGCGTGGCACTCAGCTTGTTCTCGTCAATGAACAAGCTGAAAAGCGAGGAAACAAATCTAGATATCCTCACATGCACAAGACAAGGAAATACAGATGACCAAGCAAATTCCAAAGTAGTAAATCCATCTTACTGGGCAGAATCCATGGTGATCACAGCATAGGCAAAGAAGACTGGATTGTAGTCGATGTCGGAGCCCCTTAGATTAAACAGCCCTGAAACAAAAATTTCCACACGAGTTAGTCACACACCCAGAGCCGTATATGTAGAGTTTGGCCATTCGTTCGGAAGTATAGGAGACAAATGAGGAGGTGCCATTGGCCGAAAGCGGGCTGGGCGTGTTCCAGGGCATCTTCAGAAATTCGAATGTGGCCGACCAAAAACCGGAAATATTACCCTGGCGGTGGTCGCGAGAAACAAAGTTGATAAGTGCATTGAAGTAACTCTCGGTGACTGAAAATATGGTGCATGTGATGTTTCAATTACGGTCATCCAAAACCATGGTGGAAGAGTACGACCAGCAAAACGATCGACGTAATGCTTACGCCAAGCGCCGGCAACCTGTCGTCCGAGCAGTCACACTCTCTCCGAGCAAAACAGAGTTGAGCAGCGCATTCGTTTCAGACATCTTTCTGCATGATCATGATCGAAACATCATGTGCACCCTATTTACAACCACTAAGGGTCACAAACTTCACCCTTACGCGCTTCTTACGGGTAGTCAAATACACAAATGGAAATACAAAAAATATGTATACATACTGACATCTGCTACAAATAATACAATGCACAATCACAAAAAAAAAAAAAAAAGAATTGAACACAACATACACATATTTACTATAAGCTGCTAACATCAGCACAATGCAAAATAATACATTAGTCATGGATCATTCTCGTATAAGTAACGACTTAAAAGACAATCAAATGTTTCATTCGAAGCCAAAACCACAGCTTCGGGGAGTCTATTCCACTGATTTAATGTTCGTGGGAAAAACGACAATTGAAAAACAGATGAGCGGCATGCTAATCCCCTCTTTTTTTCGAGTCGTCAAATCTCTGGGAAGTAAAAGTAGGGGGTTTTAGGTAGATGTTCCTATCAATGCCGGTACGTTTACGAATCACTTTATTAAAAAAAGAGTACCTTGATAACCTCCAGCGGAGTTCGAGCAACTCCCATGACAATGATTTTTTTAATGCCGTGACTCTGATATCAAAATGATAAGAGTTAGTAACAAAACGGACAGAGCGATTTTGAATTGCCTCAAGATTATTAATTAAGGTTTTAGTGTTCGAATCCCATACTACAGCAGCATATTCTAAGAGGGAATATACGTTAGAAATGTATAGTATTTCTTTGACGTCACGAGGCGCATGTTAGTTTCTCTTTATAAAGTTAAGTGCACATCCTGCTTTCATTGTTATAAATTTAACATGACTAGCCCACATTAGGTTAGATGAAAAAATAACACCCAAATACGTACTTCACATCCTTTGCCAAGCTAATCTGATTTGCATCTAGATAGTAATTAGTCTGTATGTTTAGACGCTTTCTGCTAAAGCAGATACACTTCGCAAAATTCAGTTTAATTTTCCATCTGTTGCACCATGTGAGTGTTTGATCAAGATCAGTTCGTAAAGCGGCAGCATCGTCCTGGTTATTTATATCCCTGTATAACACACAATCATCTGCATATAATCTTAACCTGGAAGTAGTTCTATAGCCAATATCATTTATATAGGTTAAAAACAGAAGCGGACCAAGCACCGATCCTTGGGGAACACCCGACATTACTGAAACAAAGCAAGATTTTGTATCCATTAATGACTACTTTTTAAGAGCGACCGTTAAGATAGTCTGCTATCCAGCCAAGGACAGAAATAGGTAAACCTAAAGATGAGAGTTTTAAGAACAATTATTACCTCTGCACACACAGTGCTCAGGTGGCTTTGTTTATAAAAAGATTCCATTAGACCCAGCCAAACGGGGCACTTTTACAAATAGAAAACAGCCTGTTGGAATAACGGTGTGAAAGTGAAGCAAGCAAAGAAGGTAAAGGAAACCTTGTGTGCCAAAGCTAGCCAAAGCATTTTTCAAACCCTCCAACAGAACATGAACTATGTGGCAGGAGTGGCACAGCCAGTACAGAACGATCAATGTGCCAGGGCTTATGCACGCTCCCCCCCACGTACATGCAATTTCGTCAAGGGCTGTGATGACCAGCACGGAGGCCGACTTCTGGGTCATGTCTTGCCGGATGTCCGCTATCTTGTCCTGCCAGAACTTGCCCGTGTAGATGATGGAGAGCGAGTCGAGGGGGCGGCTGGGTGGGGATGGCCGCTCTTCCCAGATCAGATCCACGAGGTTCTGCGATACAGGGACCAGGGAATGTCCCGACGCATCCAGCTGATTGCAGAGCTGCTTCCAGGCGTCTGTAAGACAAGAGCCACTCAGTAACGCCACACCTGTCGCAGATGGCACCCTTACCGTAGGGCATGAGGAACGGATCCACTCCTACTCTGCTGCCGCTGGACAGCACCTGCACCCAAAGCCAGGTTGTTTGCTTGCTTCGTGACCACCCTTCCCCACATTGTGCCCAACTGCCTGCACAGTATCCCCTTTTGTCCACTGCACACGACTCCATTGAGAATGCATAACACAATAACTTATTGCGAGGCATGCGCTCAAGACTTGGAGTGGGAAGAGCTGGCCAAATAGCAATAAGTTTGCTTGGAATAAATTGCAGCAGCTGCTTAGATTGGTATGTTACCCACATGCACACTATACTAAGTCAAAAGTCAGTCACACCTCTTTCCAACCCTTGATAAGGTAAAGGAGAAAAAGACACCCAGTAATGTCGAAACTTTGTGTCAGTGAGCACAGAGTGCCTTCTCTCTGTGGGAGTGTAGAACAAACAGATGGAACTTGCCTTGCAGAGCCAATCGCCCTGGGATGGTGTGCCTGGGATGCCTACAAATGTGACAAAGGTCAAGTGACAATCCCTCCCCAGAGCAATAGCCAGGATCACAGCACACTTTAAGCCGAGCAAAATATTTGCTCCAAGTCCCAGTTCTACATGCACATAAATTTGTTTTTCTCTAAAATAGCTCCAAATACACGCTCAGCAAATCCCCACAATGAAATCAGCTCTTTAACATTATGTTTGAATTTGACATGCTCTACACAAGCATAATGCCACAAGTGTCGCAGAAGCACAAGCGTAGTTGTATGCAACATGAGCGGACCAGAAGCCTCTTTGCTGCTTTTAATTTCCAGAACAGAAGCAGACATACGGTTGGAGACAGGCAATACGCTAGAAGCTCCAACATGTGCTGCACTTGCGGCAAAGTGTTATCAAAGGCAAAAAGCTGGATGTGTCCTCCAGGCATGTACCAGGATTGTTTCGGGGAAGGTGGGTGGGTGGGTGGGGGGGGGGGGGGGGGGGGGGGGGGGGGCGCCCATGACAAAATGCTGTATGAGGGGGAGGGGGGAGAGGAGGCCCCAGCAAAATGGAAGATTTCGGGAGAGGGGGGGGGGGGGTCCCATGGCCCCCCCCCCCCCCTGGCTACGTGCCTGGTGTCCACTCCTTTTCGTTTCGCCTGTATAAGGACTGCCAACATGGCCGTGATATCGCTCCACTGGTGTGCCAACCAAATACCACTCAAAGACTAAACACCAGCACTGCTTCAGAGCTCCATTTTGGCTCGAGTAGAATCAATGTCGCGGTGGGCATTCAGGCTAAGTTTCATGTGCAATCACTGCAGTGATGGAAATCGGAGTTCTGCCAATAAGCAGCATACAGGCATGCCCTCTACATGGCCAACCCCAGTATGTGAATATGACGAGCATCAACAATATAAAACCATATGCCAGACTGTGTGATCGCATTGTTTTGGTTGCCAAGCTAGAAAAACAAACGTGCAACTCCGTTTTCTAACAATATTATTATTTTTTTTTTTTTTGTGATTGTTTGTGTTTGGAAGAGAAAAACAAATACATAATTCATACTGTTCGAACGCCTAGAATTAATTCTGAACAGTGCTAATGGAACGTAAGAAAACAGTTTCACGGCTTCTCGAGCATAATACGAGGCGTTGCAAGTCAACAAATGAAGAACAGCAGCTGCCTTACAAAAGGTGCAAAGGTCAGAGCGCTGGCATAGCCAGTCTAGCAAAATCATTTTATTTAAGAGCATGGCCAATCTCAAAGTGCTACATGTCTGAAAGAGCCCATGTAGTGCATGTTACCTTCCCTAAATTGAGTGCTTCATAAAACTCGCAGAGTAGGCAGCACACCAAAAACAATTAGAGTTGCACGACTTTACGACAAGCTTTGTATAGGTCTAATAAAAGTACCATCTTTCATGAGGATCCAATTTGAGTCCAGCTGTTGTTCCGCCTGCAGGAAATATCGACCGTCGGTCCAAAGCGCAGCCTGATCTTCGGTCACAATCGCAGTACCTGGACCCCAACCACCATGCCAGGTCACACACACGAGCGAGACACACAGAAAATGGGCAAAATTATTCTTGGAGCAAAGCAAACACAACCCACCAGCGCTTCCTGTAAATCCGGTCAGAAAAGCTCTTCGTTTATCACAAGGCGCAATGTATTCGCTCTGGAAAAAGAAATGGGGAGGGTGAAGTTGGCTGGGTGGGCAGGCGGCCGAGATGGGCTCTCACCTGGTGGGCATCTCCAGACGGAACAATGTAGGCCTGAATCGTTTCGCTCACATGAGTCGTGTTTTTCATGAGCGCTCGCAGGCGTTTGAGCAAGGTGCCCGTGTTTCGTAATGCCATGTCTAACGGTTCCGAGGTGGAGGGCTCATCTGCTGCTGCAAAAAGACGTGCCAGCCTTGACCTCGGCTCCCTGACACAGAAGCCCACATGCTCTTCCTCCACCAGGCGTCCTAGATGGCTACACCACGCAAAATGCAAACTCCTCAAAGTCCAAGGCCTTGCACATTCCAGGTTGCTTTTACAGGCACAACACCAAAGTCAGGACACCATTAACACGTCGTCCACAATTTTTTTTTCTTCTTCGGCATCCCAAACTGTTTGGAGGGCTTATAAAAATTTGCAATGACAAGCGTGGGCCAGCGAAAAAGGTTTAAACCTCCGAGTTTTTAGGTTACTCCATCGTGGGACAAAGATAGAGGATATTTTGCCTAGTGTTCGGGGTAAACAGGCTAAAGTCACATCTAGGAACAAAACGAGATGGCAGTTCACCATACTGTTTCAGACTGTCGAAGCTGCTAGCGCGAGCATGGGGCTTCATCTCGCAGATCATTTGCACGCATTCTCACGCAAACCAAACCATGCATGAAGTCACGCTCTTGTGCCAGTAACTTTGACAGCGTTGCATAATAGGTATGAAACAAAGTATATACTTGGCGAGACCTGCATAATTGTACTGCGCGTTTGTTTAGACAGCGGGGAAGTTACGACCGCACGCCGGCACAATGTTCATCCAGATCGAAACAACCAGAGGTGAGGACTGAATGAAACTTTAGGTGACAATGGAATCAAAGCTATGGGTGCAACTTGAGCGCTGATCAAAGCTGTGTGAGCATACTCTTCTGAAATGCCACATAGTGTCCTCGAACATTACACGAAACTAAATGCCATTTTTCATAAACAGAAGAAAAATGGGGGGGGGGGTTGGGGGGTTACATAGTTTGCACTAGCTTCGTTCTATTTACCTGCACCTATTGCACCGGTGCAGGAAAGTGTACTCCCAGCATGCGTATTGAGATACAAAGTACACCGGCCTACACTGGTGGAGGAGGCGCAGGTAAATCGAACGAAGCTACTGACGTCACTTGGTCAGACAAGGGGGGAAAGGGCGCGGGAGAGGGTAGCTGCGTTAACGAGGCGTTTCTGGCCAACAGAAAGAGGGGCGAACTGACGTCACGTGCAAGCCCATGCCGTAGCTGATACAGCTGGCCCAAGGTCGAGACCATACGCTCCCCAGGCATTACCGACAAGGTAGTTGCCAAATCAAGTTTAAATTAAATAAGGGACAACAATGCAAAATGATTCGCTATTTCATCCTGAAGCTAGAGCAAAGTACACTGCGCGGCACTGCTAGAGCGAACACATCGACGCTTTCCCCACAAAAGTCCCGAACGAGCACTTTCCACTACACTAGTTTTAACGACAGCCTTCAATTTCAAGAAATTCCAGGAGAAAAACCGGCGCTCATTCGTGCAGCGTCGCGCTCGCTTTACTTGGGGCGGGCTACCAAATGCAGTGCTTTCTGTGGCAGTACGCAACGAGGTTTCCACAATCATGCAAATGGTACACACAAAAAGAAATACAGCTGCCGGAGCAAGTGTGAACCTCTTTGCGCGCCCACGAGATTTCGAAGAGACGATAGATACCTGCGTCGTCGCCTCGCCCGGTCCGGCTCGTTTGAAATCGCCCCGCTCGGTAACGACAAATTGTCGATTCACCGAGGGCAAGCGGCAAGCAACCACAACGGTTAGTCTAAAAATAATCCCCGTTGGTGGCTGCCGACGGAATTATTCAGGGGGTCCAGGGGTCTTGGCGCTCCTTTATTTTAGAGCACCGCCACTACCAGTGCCGCACACCAAGCAAGTCACGTCGCGGGCACACCGCGGCTCCGGTAGTCCTCAATGCCAACGCACTTGCAGCCCTCGGGATCGAAGAGGTCACGAAGAGGCAGGCAGAAACGATTCTAGATTTGAGGCGCAAAGCGAATAAGTGACAAACCGTCCACAGTTTCAAATTACCGTCGCTGCCGTTGGAAAACGAAGCGTTCAAACCTACGAAACCGACGACCAGAGCAACTAAAGTGCGACCGGCTTTTCACGTCGCTGCGAGAGCGCAATGGAGCTTTTGAACCGTTTCAACCAGGTGGCGCTAGTATACGCTATACGCGCATATACGCGCGGGAAAAAACGAAAAGCGACGCCCCTTTGCTATTTTTTTTTCCTCTCTTGAACCATGAAGTTAAAATTATAAAAATATATATAGCACGTAAACGATTACCTTTGATTGCAGCTGATAAAAAGATCTCACCTTTCTTGGAAACAGGTCAGTAAACACAAAATTAGGTTATATGAACTTGCCTGCAAACTGCCCCAAACTCAATGTCCCACTTCGATTCTCTGCAGCTCTAGACTCAGGCACATGCACTCGAACCTACTGAGGGCCACCAACAACAAAAGAGCCAAGGCAATGATGCTCCATGGACTACAGGGGCTTTTATTGGGCATGCAAGGTCCGCACGGCTCGACGACAGAGGGGCCATGCAAGCCCAGCATGAAGGGCACGAGGACCAGACAATGACCAGGCAGGGGGGGACAGAGCAGGCACGTACTGTTGGCATAGAGCCAATTGTCTTCTGGACGGAAGTCTCTCAGCTGGAGCAGGGAGGGCACAAGCTGGTGGCGAGGCTTGCAACTCTTGAAGCTGGGGAAGGTGGGCACGACGCTGGCCAGGGCAGCCACCTGGTGGCTCGAGGCCAGGTACTTGAGCGTCTCCGTGAACAGGGTGGGCAGGGTGGTGGCGTCGTCCTGGGCGCGCAGTTTCAAGTCCGACACCACCTGGTCCACCTTGTTCCGCCAGGCGTCCGGAGGGTGGTTGTGCTTGTTGTTGGCCTTCTTGATGCGGCTGTAGACCGTGACCGCCCGGCCGGGACACTGGCGGTCCCGAGCACATCGCCAGTACACCGTGCCCTCCTTGCCGTCCCGCACCTTGTTGTACCGGTGCCCTTCATACAGCAAGGCAATGCCGCCCCGCTGTGTGGCCACGTATTGGCACTCCATGCTGCAAGACACCATTCATCAGTCAGAACGAAGACCTTGACCAGCTACGCTCGGTGCACAAGAGTTCAGGTTCCTCCCCACATATTTCCACATTAGGAGAAGAAAAGCCGGAAGAGGTCGCCGGCTTTAGCGTTCGCTCTGCTAAAGTAAAGAGGGGTGCCAGGAGTTTCCCCTTAAAGGGATGCTTCAACGAAATTTGAAATATTCCCGTCGTGTTCACAAATAGGTTGAATATGATCCACAATATCCGTAAATGACAATCGCACATTTGTATTTTTAGCTTGGTGGCTGTATTTTTCGTTATAAACGGCCCACTCTGGCAAGCGCTCGGAGAAGGCCCAGCGGAGACCACGTGACATCCGACGCAATCGTGACGTAGGTCGTCTCAGGACGAGCAAAGCTACGGCGAGGCTGACGTTGAGAGGATGGCCTAGTAGTTCCAGCCACCGAAGCGGCTGCTTTTGTACGAATTTTGAGTGACGGGTTAATCTTCTGTAATCTTGTAGGGGGACAATAGCGACTTCTGCGACACACAAAAGGCATTCTCGGGAAGAGGGGAGTTCCTCCTGCCCCTCTTCTCTCGTTGTGACCGGAGACGAGACAACCTCCGTCACTAGCTGTCAAGGTTCCTAGACGGGCATTACAAGCAAGGCGTTAGCGACATCCACCAGGTGCTCTTTGCTAATCGTTTAATTCGTTTTAAAATTCTTTTTCGTGACTTTTTTAACAAGATATTTGTATGTTCGATGTGATGCTGCTTTTTTGAACACATATAGACCAAAAAATGAACGCCAAAATTTCGTTGTAGTATCCCTTTAAAGGCCGGTTCACACATACGGCGGAGCGCTAAGTTAGCGCTACGTGAGCGCTCGAAAGAGCGCTCATGTGGCGCTTCCTAGCGCGTGACGTAGCACTCGGTTAGCGCTTCAGCAGCGCTCTGTTAGCGCTCTCACGCTCCTTCTGCCGTGCTTGCTGCTGTGGAACAGCGCGTGCACGGCGATTCCGTTGTTGCTTTTTTTTCCTTTGGTGGCGAAAGAGAAAGTAAAAGAGCCGCTCTCCAAGCAAACGGTCGGGCTGATGATCCACGGTCATGGACTTTGAGCGACTGATTGATAGGGTACGACCTCATCGATTTCTGTTCGACATGACTGACCCTGGTTTCAAAGACACGCAGTTCAAAAAATAATCAATTTCGAAAGAACTCTCGTCTTTCAGCCTGGGAACAAGGTTCGCCATGCATGTACCCGTTGGTATCTCGGTGGCGAAAAAATTTCGCGCACCCAGAAGGCTCTTCTGGGCGTTAAGTCGTCCACACACAAATGCACTAATTGCGTATGTAAGAGCATTTATTGCGTTTCTATTTCAGCGTCCTACATGTCTGCCATGGTACTGTTGATGCACACCCAACCACAGGAACCGGAACCGCAGTGCACGCGCTAATCCGCAGCACCGCGGTACAAGAAGCGGTAACAAGGCGCTACTAAAGCGCTAATCACGCGCTATATTAGAACGAAGTCACGCGCCAGAAGCGCCACATGAGCACTCCTTGGAGCGCTCACGTAGCGAAAACTTAGCGCTCCGCTGTATGTGTGAACAGGCCTTAACTCTTCATAGACATAGCTCTGTGCGCGACAGCAGGGCACGTGCTGACGGCGAGTTTCCACAGTTATTTTGCAATGTGCATTTCACACCATCAAAATTGCCGGTTTTAGAAGCCTATTAACGTGAGCTCGTTCTGAGCATGCGCTTTATACAACGCCCTCAAATATGGCGTCCAGTGAGGGGCAATACACTGGACAACATCGTCTGGAAGGTAAGACGAGGACGTGATCAGCGCGGTAGACGAGCGAAATTTAGCTACGTTAAGTAGGACACCGTGAAAAACATCTGTTCACCATTTTCACTTGTTAGTGAGCGCGTTGGTAATGATGTAGGTTTAGAAAAAGTTATATACGTAAAGACAGAGGACGGGACAACACATCTTTGTGTTGTCCCGTCCCTCTGTCTTCACGCGGGGAAGGCGCGTGGCCTTCTTTGTTTATACGGGGAAGGCCACGCGCCACACGCGCAGGCCTTCCCCGTATAAAAGATTCGAAGTAAATAACCAAAATAAAGGGTTGACGAATGCGCGTGCCAGATGCCCTTTGTTTTAGGTATTTGCTTTAGAAAAGTTACTACTGCTGAGACCAGCATGTGCGGCGCGTGGAACACCAATCCCGGCATTCTCCTTGATGCTTGGGTAATAGAGCAATAGGTCTACTGCAGAAGGCGGCGATGTCCCGGTCTCGCTTGGTCACCCCATGTTACATAGAACCCCAGTTCCCCTCCTTTTTTCCTTGTCTTCAAGCGCATCCTGTACATTCTGCAGGAATCTGAATGCACGTGCTTTTTTATAACATATAACCACACAGAGTTAATTTAACAAACTGTGTGCACTCATTTATAAGCAGAAACGCCTTCTTTTCTTATTGGCAATTATAAAATTGTACTAACTAAACCAACTCTTCTACATGCTTTTCAAACTTTCTTACACAGAAAATAAATGACTGCACAAGGTCGCAACTTTTATTATTTCTTTGAAGCAATGGTGCAGTTTTGGTTATCAAGACGGACTCCCATGATCATTCTAGAAACACAGTTTCGAACATGTCGGTGAGCATGGTGCTGCTGGGGGGTGCAAGCAATTTAGGAATTTTTTTAGCGAGATGTTTTCAGAGGACACCTTTCCCTTGTCTAGTCATCCACCTGGATACATCATTGTCTCAATAATGATTCCAATCTCAATGTCTGCAAATGAAATTCAAAAGCTGAGTGAAAACCTTCCAACGAACTCGAATCCTGGCCCTGATAACATTTCAATGAAGCTAAAGTCATGAACGACAGGCTAATGGAACATGTGATTTTTCAAATATCAATAATCACCTGTCTGTTTACGACTGCCTTTTCGTTCACTAGCACAGTTTTTGGTGGCTTTATTCCTATAAAGCTCAACTTTTTTAATGTCACCGATTCACACTGCAACCTTTACTGTGGAGCGGAAACCCATGCAATTTTCATAGACTTTCAAAAGACATTTAATGAAGTACCGCATCACCGACTCCATAAATTATAAGCTTTCCAAATAGAACCTTCTGTAATAGTGGATTTCAAATTTCTCTTCAACCTTACACAAACTATTTACTACAAGCAGAAATTCTCATCTCATCAGATAATGAAGTCAGGATTACTGAAAGGACCTGCTACTTTTTGATTTGTATAATTATGACTTGCCAACTAATATCCAGTCCACCATTCGTTTGTATGATGATGATGGTATATAGAAAAATGGCCAGTATTAATGAATGCACTCAACTTCAAAATGACTTGATTGGTATAGAAAATTGATGTAGAAAGTGGCAGATGCAGACAAATATTTCCAAAACAAAATTCCTGAATATTAACAATAAGCCATCTGGTGGGCTAGTTGGGTAAACATCACTAAAAAATAGCGCAAAAATAGTGTCTTCTCGTTCTTTCCGTCGTCCTAGAGCTATTATTTTAGTGAAGTCACACTTAACTACTCCCTCTCTGATGTGCCTACTGAACATGTCCACACGTACAAGTATTTTGGGGATCATTTCACATCAAACATCTCTTGGGAAGCACATATCAATTACATAACCGCAAAGGCAAACCAAGGTGTTGACTTCACAGGACGAGCACTGCACATGGCCAATTGGGAAACAAAACTCTTAGCTTACACCGCCGTCCGCTAGAATATGCATCTGTAAAATAGAACCCTCATCAGTATAATCTAATAGAAACACTAGAATCAGTTAAAAAAAAAAAAAAAAAAAACACTCGCTTCATTCTCAAAGGCTAGACAGGCACAATCAGCAAAATGAAGACTTCGTATTGCTCTTCTCGTGGAGAAAAGAAAACTATCTAGACTTGCCCTCTTGTATTACCATTCCGGCTGCATTCCACATAACCAGGGTTGTAAAGTACCTAGGTACAAGTAAATCGCACTCGGTAACTAGGTACTTTTGTTGTACCTGAGGTACAAACCTAGGTACTTTCATTTCTCGGTATCTGTATCTTAGGTACATTTTCCAGTAACTTGTACCACATTTTCCGGACTATAAGTCACACCCTTGTATAAGGTGCACATCTGTACACTGAGTCGTCGTTTTCGTGGAAAAGTTGGTATATAAGTCGCACCTCTTTGCATGTTTAACGTGCTGAGTTTTTCTAGTTTACGCGCATCGGTATTCTGAAATCGGAGTTTCGCGCAATCGGCTTGACGTGCAACTTTGGCGTTTCGACTCGCGAGAAATGCCCATAGCACAGCGCTGTCTAAGGGTGGGCGGGCAGTCGAGTGTTTCGCAGCAAAAGGACGTAAAGCACGCAGAATGAGAGGGTAGTCGGCTTTATTCGAGCAAACGAAAGTTCAACGAGCTAGACACTTGTGAACCAAGCTTTGGAGCACTAAGCCTAGCCTAGGCCAAGTCCCGGAGACAACGCGAGCATTGATGCGCTGGCAGAAAGATAAACCTTGACAAACTTTTCTTTTCGGTACTTCTAAAAGATCAGCTAGGCAGAATCCTTCCTTCTAGATGAAGCAACACCGTTCGAGCATGGCAGAAAAAAACAGCTCATCAAACAGAAACTAAGAAAGATGCAAGAAAATATTCTGCAATGCATGTATACCAGCCCACTTATCTTTCAGTGTTACTGGACTGTAGTAAAAGAATACGGAACCATGGCTGAATTAGGCAACGTCGATAACCTGCTCTAAATGCTGTATCCTCACTATCTCCCCTATCCACACTGAGCCGATTCAGGGAAACCATAATTTTTCTCGCTTTCCGAGTCAGTTATGAAAAGTGTAGAAGAGTGCGGCAACAGCAGTGTCCCTGGAGGGGGAAGCAACACCTATGGCTACATAGTTACAATGCTCTACAAAAGATGGCGCGCCGCGCATAAAATAATTGGCGTCACACCATGAATTTAAAAGAAAAA